ACTTTGTCTTTTTCCTTGTTTTTTTACCTTTATTTATTTTTTCCTTCTTCTTCCAGCTTATTTTCTGCAAGGGTGATTCTATGGTAGAAGTTTCTGTGAAAAAATCCATGTAGGACATCACTAGGTGAAGAGCCTTCTCCCAGGCAGCAGGGACTTCAGCTCTGCTGAACACACAGGGACTCCCCTTCTAAATGCCTGCAYTCAAGCAGTGCACAGAGAGGACAACCTGCTCCTCAGGAGAGCAGGCATTGCTCTGCGGAAGGGAAGGGAGTCACCAAGGCCACGTCTGATGAGGAGCAATGGTTCTTTTGTAGTTAGGTGTATTGATTCCAATGAGGGGCAGTGCCATTTCTTACTTGCACAGGGAGTCGGCAGTGCATTAATGGTGCCTCACAAAAGAGGACAAGCCAGGMAGAAGACAAGGAGGTTGTTGGCAGAGGAGGAGTCAGGCAGCACTGCCAGGCCCTGAGGGAGTCGCGCGGCACACGGGGAGCAGATGAGTGCGAGCAACAGCCTGGCTCATTGCGGACAATGACCCCTGCAGTGAGCATCCCTCACACAGACGCTCGACCCATTCCTGCTTCACTGCTTTAGCCCTCTCTCCAACTTCCTCCAAAGAAGCTGCCCTGATTCCTCTGCAAGAGCTCTGCATGGCTCATGCTTAGTGAGACAGACCAAGACGGCAGCATCAGGTCCTGAAGGAACCACAAGTGTCCTGAGTGAGACAGGGTGTTAACTCCAACCATCAACCTGGAACGCAGTACAAGAAAAAGGAACCCATGCGTATCTGGATCTTGCACAGCGGGAAGGAGCAAGGGTCTCCTCTTCTCCCCTTTGCCATATGCAGCCAGCCAGCAGGGGTGCAGCTTCTCAAGCAAGGCCACTGCAGCCCTGCACACACTGCAAAGGGCAACACGCTCACACCTGGCACCAAGCAGTCCTGACGCACAGTGCGAGCAGGATCCTGACGGCCTCTTGGTGCAGCTTGCTCACCAGACCTCTTGACTCACACAGCTCCTGCTCAGCAAGCATTTTATGCTTGCTCCTCACACCACTGTACCATGGGAAAGCACCCATGGGGAGGCTTCCTCTAAAAATTCCTTCAGAATGTGGTGGATGCTTTTGCAGCAACTGGCAGCTGCACTTGCACACGTGTAAAAGGTATTAGAAGGAGCAACAGGAACTTGTTAGTGCTTAATAATCCCTTCTCTCTCTCATTCTGTCTCTGGTCAGTGTCTTTATGGGCAGTGCGTTCAAACAAGAGGGCATTTTCAGCTTCAA